TTTTTTTTTTTTTTTTTTTTTTTTTTTTTGGTTTTTTCTCAAGACATTTTTGTTAGTTATATATTTGACGTTCTTACTAAGAGGCATCTAAATGCTTATCAAAAGTCACTTAGTAGGATTGCAGGAGTTATAACTCTTGCGGAAATTTTTTTTTGTAATCAACAAAAGCAAGTAAGTTTTTGAGTTAGTAATCAATAAAAACGATACTCGTTGATTGGTCATTTGTTTCGGTGGCATATCATTGTTTGCTGGTCGTCAAATCAATTGGAATTGTACGACGAGGAACTGATATGTAAGGATCGCACACTTATTGGAATCCAGGGCAGTTGATACAGAAATACTCAGAAAATGAGCGCAGTAAAAAGTGAATGGCAAAAGAAAAATTACTGCTTGAAATTGCTGCTAGTTCATAGATTAAGGAGCTGATATAAACTGAATTTAACTATTGTTATTTGATGCTCACCACAAAAGTTCTGCTGTTGGTGTTTCAAAAGTAAAAAAAAAAAAAGGGTTTTATATTTTTAAAATACATATATTGATTGTATAGAATAAACTACAAATCATATTCCTGGCTGTGAATTAGAAAAGTCAAAAATTATCAGAATCAGCGAACTGCAGCCAAATCATTGCTAAATGGATGCGAAGCGTTTATCAAAAGGACAATAAAGACAGACTTTTTAAAAACCACATTAACTAACGATCTTTTTAAACTTTATTTTTTTATTGCAAGGTTTCTAGGTTAAAGAATATAAATTTAAAGCAAATATTATTCGAATGTCTTGTAATTGCTTTAAATTTCTTCCAGTACTCTTCAGGAAGAAGCCAACCGTTTAAAAGTGATTTTCTAATGTAAATTAAAGAGCAGAAGTGATAAGAAAGCTGAAAAAAAAGAAAAGATTAGCAAAAATCAAGAAGTATAGGAAAAGATTTGAAGTGTTTAGCGTAAACTAGAAGTTAATAATGTTAGATTTTTACTGCTGAGTATTTCTACAAAATATTTGAAAGATATTTTTGTGTTTTAAACGCTGTAAAAGGAAGTACTGATATGATACCACCAGTTAATATTAACACGCTTTTTTTTGAGTTTTTTTTTGCTAAAATAATATTTTAGAATACCGAACTTATACCTAAGTTTAGAGCCAAAATTTTGCTTAAGGTCAAGTTTAAGTTGAGACTTTAGTTAAAATTACAAAACAAGAATCGATAGACGTAGCAACCGTTATTAAGTGACTTATTGAGGCTAAAACTGGGAGAAAAAGTTTAAAAAAAGAAAAAGTAGCAAGTTCCTGACTATATGTTTTGGGCACCTCTCACCACATTGGAGTTTTGGTTATTTATTTATTCCATTTTTTTTTTTGCACTTTTTGTATTACAGTTACTGATCTAATAGCACTTTTTTTTTTTTTATCGTTGTCGTGTTTTTGAGACGTTAAATTGTTGCTGTTTTTTATCGCTTCTATTATTCACTAAAGAATCGCCTTCAGAAAATTCTTTCATCTTCATTGCTCTCTAAAAAAGTCATTATCAAATGTCATTGATTGTAATACACGTTACTCTTTTTCAAAAACGTCAAATGAACAATTTTTTGATGAGAAAAAAAAAGACAAGTGGAATAATGTAAAATTATAAGCGGTTTAGAATTGGATTTTGGAACTATGGCGAAGCACTCAACAACGGCACATTTTTGTTGTTTACAATATTGGTTAGAAGCACAATAGGTTCAACAGCAGCAAATACCAAAATTTATTGTGCCTTTTGCTTGCCTTCAACTGAATAAAAGGGTATAACTTGTAATCTGCGCACAGCGTCGCATATTCGTCGTCTTCGTCAGTCCACAATGTCGGTTATCTCCGTCTTAAGCTGCTCCTCAGTTTTTCTGCTTCTAATTCTTCAATCAACGTCCATTTACGGTTGCGGTTTATTTGGTGGATGTG